TCACCAGTGTGGGTTCGGAAATGAGCACGGAGGGCCGAATTTTGAGAGAATTTCTTGCTGCAAACAGAACATTCAAATGGCTTTTCACCAGTGTGAGTTCGGAGATGAACACGGAGGACCCAATCTACCGAGAATCTCTTGTTGCAAACAGAACATTCACGGTAAAAAAGATGTCTGATTTTTTGAGGGAAAAGGGAAAATTTTGAGGAAGTCCCTTAGAACTACTCAGATTTTGAGGAAGTCCCCTCGAAAAATGAGGCGATTCGCCTCAAAATCTGAGGAGTCCTAAGGGACTTCCTCAAAATTTTCCCTTTTCCCTCGAAAAATCAGACATCGTTTTTACCGTGATTCTAATGGGTTCTCACCAGTGTGGGTTCGGAAATGAACACGGAGGTTCCAACTTCGAGAGTTTCTTGTTGCATACGGAACACTCAAAAGTCTTTTTAAGATGGCTGTCCTCCTGTGTCGTCCTTTCCATGCTGAGAGTTGAGATTGCTCTGGCACACTCCCCCTGATTTGAAGAACAAACTCACCTCGATGTCAAACGTGACTTATTCACTGTCAAAACTGGGAACGCCTGAAAAATAAAAATATGAATCAGGCACGTATAGTACACCGTGAGAAAAAACTACAATTAAACAACCGGTACACTCTGTCAGAGACGCTATCTGGAGGAACAACGGCTCAACGGGTGTGGGGGAGGTAGCGGGACCGCCGACTAGAGCAAGGGATTAATATCAATTCAAATTAGTCGCAATGAAGGGCCGCCCACCCGCCGCATACTTTTATTGTCTGATGCTCACTGCGCTATAATAAATGGTCGCCCGGCCCGCCTCGCGGCACGCGCGCAGGCAAGCTCGCCAAGGATTCCGCGGATGCAGCATTTCTCATCACCAACGCGCCTACCGCCCGATAGGAGTACTTTACTCGAAAAAATCAGTGTAACCTTCCACAAAAAAAAATAAGAAGAGAATCAGAAAAATTATTAAACAAAGAAAAATCAAGACGGAATTTTGAAAAAATAGAAAAAGTCGGGAAAACGTACAAAAATTGGTGCACGCTTGAATTTCCATAGAAGTACCCCTTGCCACTGGAACCCATCAGCAATGGGTCACGGCGCTTTCCATACCACCTTTTAACTTTGAGTTGATCAGAAATTATCGAGAGATGCGGTGGTGAGACGATAGCGAGCCGCGCTCGCGCTCGGCCCCGCCCTTGGCGAGCGCCATTGCTGCACTCCGCCATGGCCCCGCCGAGCCGCCCCGCCGTGCCGCCCCGCCGAGCCACCCCTCGCGAAGGAGTGCGGGGGCGGGCCGCACTCGGGAGCCATGTCTCCAACTCACACGACGGGTCGTCTCACGAGCTTTTGCGTCTTTTGGGGAACAAGAAATGAAACGGAAATTACACGGAGACTCGACGCACTCAAAGTGTGTTGTTTTGAACAGAAAAGTTAACGAGAGGTTTCTAGCACGGTAGCTAGAAACGACGTAAAGGTTTCCAAGCAGCCAAGCACTCTTGTGGAGAAAATACATGGGTGCATCTTGGTTTATCCAAACTCCTTGGAAACCTGACACGGCGTTCAATTTTACCCGTGTTCTTTTTATCATACATGAAGGACGTGAGGGGGACTTTACTCCGAGGTTAATAAATGCAGTCCAGCTCGCCCGGCGTGACGAGCGAGGCTCATCGGCGAGGCCTCGGCCCCAGAGTGGCACCCCCCCCCCAGTAGTGGGGGCGAGGCGGCAAGGGAAGAGATTCGCAGGATCTCGGCTCGGCACCTTTATGATGAAGTATCATTTTTCGTCGTGGACCTGCTAGGAGGCGAGATGAAATCAGTATCGCCTCGCCTCGCGCTGGCCGACCTCCCCAGGGACATACAGAGTGGAGAGGGGCAGACGGAGAGCGGAAAAGGAAAAGACGAGGGAGAGGGAGAGAGAGGTGGGGGGTATTGTTGTGAAGTGCGTTCACAACGCGGTAGTTATTCCCTGTCGGATTTGAATCTCGCTGCGTTTGCCGCGCGAGATAGGCAACCCGACACGCGGCTATTCGGGCCGCCCCCGGCCGCCTCGACTCGACTCTGCTTCTCGCTACTCCCAGCCAGCCGTGCCTGGCTGCCTGGCCCTCGCGAGCCGTGCCTACTGCTCTCGCCCGCTCGCTCTGCACGGACCTCATCGACGCACGAGCCCTTGGCTCGTCCTCACTTCGGCGCTAGACTTGGAAGAGTGAAGACGTTCCGATCGTTCCCGTACCGTACCGTATCGCGAACCTTGAGATTACTGCCATGTGTTCAGAAGGATGAATAAATCTGATTAGTGTTCCCTCACTGTTGCCTTTCCTTCCAAACGCCTTATCCATGCTCAGTACGCGCTACACGACAATTGGTGGCAGCGGATAAAGCACGGAGGAGGGGAAGGAGTGAGGTTATGTTGAGGTTAAGTTGAGTGAGTCGGTATGTCCGCTCCTCCCTGCTCGGGTTTGTTTCCCGCAAAATACTCGTTTGAGCGTTAGTCGCTCACGATCTGCGTCGCATCTTGGATTACATCTACGCGTATTTTAAAGGTTACTTTGTGAGTGTGTGCTTCGGTTGTGTACTTGTGAGTTGAGGGACGACAAGTGGACGCTTGTCGGCGGTACGTGTGTCCCTTTGCGGTTCGTTTCCCATTGGGCCCTCCTCCATTTCGGTTTCGGCCGGGGTGTTGGAGCCGCTAACCTCTCCTGTTTACGTGGCTGGTGTTTCCGCCGGTCCTCGGACTGGCTGGTGTTTCCGCCTGTTTACGGGAAAACTCACGTAAAGCACCCGTTCCTGCGGCTGATTCAATCTGGCGTGGTTTGTCCAATGCCGGAACGCGTCGGTCTCAGAGCGGACTGCGGGTACCCATCCCCGACGCAAACGTTTACGAACTGCGCCTGTACTTTTGCGACGCCTAACCTTGTCGTCTTGCCGCGGAGCACCATTGCCCGCCCCGCGCCGAAGTTCGAGCCTACATAACCCTAACGACCTCCAGCCTCCGCGGTGGTAACCGCTGCAAAGGCACTTTTCGCCGTACATGCAGCGCAGGGGAGCCTAGCTGTTTGTCTAGGCAGCCGAACAGCATGGCCAGCAGCACGTCTGTTCCGCGGTGCCCTACGCCAGGCCGCCGCCATCCTACGCGGTGCCGGCCGTGCCAAACATCCCCACGCCGACGAGCACCTTGTCGGTGTCCGG